CATCCATCCATCATTCATCCATCCATCATTCATCCATCCATCCATACATACATACATACATCATCCATCCATCTATTTTCTTTACCCACTTCTTCCTTTTTGGGTCCCTGGCGCCCATATCCAGCAGTCACTCTGGACGGGTCTCCAGTCCATTGCAGGGACACATAGAGACAAACGAGACAAACAACCATTCACTCTTTCACCTCGGGACAATTTAGAGTTACCAATCAGCCTAACATGCATGTTTTTGGTCTGTGGGAGGAAACTGGAGTACCTGGAGAAAACCCACGCAGCACGGAGAGAACATGCACCCAGAAAGGCTCCCAGTTATGGGATGTGATCCTGCGATCATTTTGCTGAGTGTCAGCAGCTCTACAAACAGTGCCACCATGCCACCCTTTCATGAAATTCTTTATAAATAAATTTATTTCAATTTGAGAAAAAAAATTCAAACCATCCTTCCTACTATCACCTCTGATTCCCTTTCATATGAGGCAGATTTCAACATGTCACTAGAACCTGATTTATGTTTGAACTGTTTTTGTCCTGTTCAGCTCTGAATTGTCAAAAATAATAACCTCGTCCAAACCATCCACATGCCTGCTAGATCCCACCCCAACCAGACTGTTTAAAGAGCTATTTCCCCTAATTAATGAGGGAGTGGTGGTGCAGAGGTTAAAGAAGGTGGGTCTGTGATCAGAAGATTGCCAGTTCTACTCCTGGTACCGACAACATCAAAATGTGGGTGGGATAGGTGAAGCTCCCACACCTGCCTCCACCCTCATTTGCCCCACTCTGGGCCCTTGAGCAAGGCCCTTAACCCCCACCATCTGCTCCCCTGGATGTCCTAGATGGCAACTCTCTGCTCCACACAGAGGCTGTGGTAGCTCAATGATCTGTGGCTATGTCAGGAACGGCATGTAGTGTAAAAATAACTGCCAAGTCTTAGTCTTAGACTTAGTTTGTTGTGGTGACTCCTGAAGAAGGGAGCAGCTGAAAGGGACAAAAAAACATGTCCACGTCTTAGATCTACATAATTTGTCTTTAATGGATGGTTATGTACCACAGAGCTTTAACGTTGCTGTAATTAAACCTTTACTTAAGAAGTCTGATCTTGATTCAGAAATTCTGGCCAACTATAGATCTATATCTAATCTAACTTTCATCTGAAAATTCTATAGAAAATAGTTGCAGGTCAGTTGTGTGAACATCTACAAAGAAATAATCTGTTTGAAGAGTTTCAGTCAGGGTTTAGAGCTCATCATAACACAGAAACAGCACTAGTAAAAGTTACTAATGATATTCTCATGGCCTCAGACAATGGACTTGTGTCTCTACTGGTCCTGTTAGACCTCAGTGCTGCATTTGATACAGTTGATCACAATATTTTACTACAGAGGCTTGAATGTGATGTTGGAATTACAGGAACAGCTCTAAAATGGTTTAAATCATATCTATCTGATAGATTCCAGTTTGTAAATGTAAATAATAAATTTCCTTCATACACCAAAGTTAGTCATGGAGGTCCTCAAGGTTCAGTGCTTGGGCCAATACTCTTTACTTTATATATGCTTCCATTAGGTAAAGTTATTAAACAGCATGGGATAAATATTCATTGTTATGCTGATGACACACAATTATATTTGTCCATTAAACCCAATGAATCCAATCAGCTACTTAGACTACAAGCATGTCTTAAAGACATAAAAACCTGGATGACCCTTAATGTTCTCCTGTTGAACAGACAAGACTGAGGTTTTGGTTTTTGGACCTGAGCACCTTAGGAATGAATGTTTCAGTCTTTCTCCCTCCTTAGATGCATTAATCTGTCCTCCAGCTCTAATGTTAAAAATCTTGGTGTTATTTTTGATCAGGACATGTCTTTTATCCCCCACATTAAAAACGTTACTAGAACCTCCTTCTTCCACCTGCGTAATATCACTAACATTAGAAACATCTGATCTAAAGATGATGCAGAAAAACTGGTCCATGCATTTGTCACGTCTAGACTGGACTATAATACACGATGGACTCTGACACTCACACACATGATGGACTCTGACACACACACACATGATGGACTCTGACACACACACACATGGTGAACACCACCAGGTGAAAACCAAAGAATTTGGTGCTCTTGATGATCTCCATGAAGGACCCATCGATGTTCAGTGGGGAGTGGTCTCTTGGTGTTTTCCTAAATTCACTGGCCATCTCTGGTTTTGTCAACATTCAGAGACAGGTTGTTGACTTTGCACCAGTCGGTTAGCCGTTCCTCCTCCTCGCTGTACGCTGACTCATTGTTATTGCTTTATAAGTCCTTACACAGTTGTGTCATCTGCAAACTTCATGATGTAATTTGAGCTGTGCACAGCTGTACAGTCATGAGTGAACAGAATAAACAGCAGTGGGCTGAGCACACAGCCCTGGGGAGCTCCGGTGCTCAGTGTGGTGGTGCTGGAGGTGTTCTTTACAATCCGGACAGATTAAGGTCTCCCAGTCAGGAAGTCTAGGATCCAGTTGCAGAGAGAGGTGGTCAGGCCCAGAGGTTACCAACCTTGACACAGAAGCTCCTGCCACTCAGGTATGAGCGGAAGCATTCTAATGCAGCACCTGTGATCCCACCCCACTGTTCCAACCGTGACATAAGGATACTGTGGTCAACAGTATCAAAAGCAGCAGTAAGGTCCAGGAGCACCAGTACCACAAATTGACCAGAATCGTTTGAGATCATAATGTCGTTACAAACCCTCACTAACGCTGTTTCAGTGCTGTAGAGTTGCTTAAAAACAAATTGAAAAATTTCAAAGATTCTGTTCTCATTCAAAAACTTGTTTAATTGAATGAAAACTATTTTCTCCAGGATTTTGGACAGGAAGGGAAGTTTTGAGATTGGTCTGAAATTTGAGCAAGTCGAAGGGTCAAGTCCAGGTTTCTTAATTAACGGATGAACTACTGCATGTTTGAAAACATCGGGAACCACACTTGTCACAATACTACTATTTATAATAGTAAGAACAGAGGGTCCAATCGTGGGTAGAACTTGATTGAAAAATGACGCAGGAATGGGGTCAGCGGGGGAACCGGAGGGTTTCATCTGACCAACGACTTTGTTCAGAAATGTGAGTGAAATGGGTTCAAACTGTTTGAAGACAGCTGAGCAAGGGACAAAGACAGAGGGGTCAGTTGTGGACTGGGGGATGGATGACCTAATCAACTCTACTTTATCAGCAAAGTATCTGGTAAAGTCGTTGCAGATGTCAACGGAGGCCTCCATGCTGGCAGACCGAGGCACGTTTAAAATGAGATTATGGTAGTAAAAAGAACACGGGGATAATGACTGTTTGAAGCGATGATTTGGGAGAAGTACTTGTTCTTTTCAGATTTAACGGTGCTCTGATAATCTTTCAAACACATTTTTAACACAATAAAAGAAAGTTACCAAAAGTTACAGTTACAAAAAGTGCAGTTACAGCGTGCGCTCTCGGGCCATCATTACCTGCAGCGTCCCCTCAGTGTGGATTGAACTTTCATAAGACCTTTTCCTGCTCTGCTCCTGTAACCTGGAAAACCTTGCAAAATGTCTTTAGGGTATTTTAAACATTTGATAAGGTCAATAGAAACATCAAAGCAAATATCTAAAAAAGTTCAATCTGGTCCTCTGGACATTCAAAAAAACAAAACAAAACAAAAAATGTAGAAACCTTTCGTCTCTCATCCTGAGGACTTCCTCAGGCTGAGGTGCTGTTTTCAGCTCAGTCTCTTAAATAGCACCTTCTCAGAGTGGATCAACCAGTTTGCTGCTGACAACCAGAACCAGCTGATCACATGCTCAAGAAGGACCATCAGCCTAACAATGGGTCATTAGCACCTGATGGCTGTTTACTGTTCACAGAGGGCTGAGTGATACTAGCAATCACAGCATTGTAAGAGGGGGACAGTTGAACCTGGAGGCTCCACCCCTGTTTAATGATGGACGGTTTCTTTTCACAAAGATGGCCTCCTTTACTCCTCTCTCAAACCATCGTTCCTCTCTATTTTAAACCCCAAAATACATTAAAGACTGGTTCATCCCAAAGATCCAGTCCCCCGGCACAAACAGAGTAATGTTGTGTATGTTGTTCAGTGTCAGGAGGGTGATCAGTCTTACATCGGGGAAACTAAACAGCCACTGGCCAAAAGGATGGACCAGCACAGAAGATCAACATCATCAGGCCAGGACTCTGCGGTCTACACTCATCTCCAGG